TGGTGGTGGTCGTGGTGGTTGTGGTGAGGTGGAAGTGGAGGTGGTAGTGGTGGTGGTGGCGGCGACGACGACAGTGTCCCAAAGGCAATGGTGAGATGATGGTTACAAATTATTTGGTTGATTATGACCAATAAATTAGTTAATATGTGATCAATAAATAATATGTGCCAATGAAATAGATAATATATATATTAAAGGTGGCATTAATTATAAATTAATTACAATTTGAATTTATGCAGTCTCCTTTCAAGTATAGAGTTCATTTTTCGTATTGGAGTATTCAAAATTTTATATTAATCAAATTAAATTTATTTACTTAAATTGCAATATTTAAATTAAATTTACTTCTTAAAATCGAAACTCACATATATCGATGTAATTTATTATAATTATATAATATAATATATTGTTCATCATTATCTACGAGGTGAGCATGGCTGAGAATATAAAAGCCAAATCTGACCTATTTTGCATTTTGGTTCTCAAGATACTGTCTTTTTATTGCATTAAGAAGGCTTGGATTTGGATCCCCTTCGTTCAGGGAATACAAAAGAACTTCAAACGACCTTTAATGGACAGCATATTTGCAACCTATTCTTAAAAGTTAAGTAGAAACGTAAGTTACTGATTACACTCAAAGAATAAAATGGTATTTGTAGTACAGCTTCGATGAAAAATTGCTCAAATGATCAAAAGGTGAATGTTCTCTTGGAATGTGTAATAGAATTTATTGCTTTAGGGAAGTTTAAATCAAAGTTTGAAATAACGAAATTAAAATCAATGTTCGGAATAGTGAAGCGGCGGAATTCCCTCAATTGGATTGTATCATTCAACATCAATTACTCATTCTTTTTACTTAATTAGAGGTTTTCATCCAAACTCTCTAATCGGAAGATATATCGTTGGAAATCAATTTATTCAATTGTAATCCTAGAATTTAGATTTCCTATAACACATTTCCACGTTTATTATTGGAATAAAATTAAGAAACGACCGTATACATCAAGCATAAGGCGGTAATTAATCACACCATAATATAAATTTGATATTAAAATTCAACAAATACTTCAATTATTCAATAGAAAGAGCGTGACTAGATCTATGAAAAATTTAATAAAAGTTAAATCAATCTNTAAAAATTCAACAAATACTTCAATTATTCAATAGAAATAGCGTGACTAGATCTATGAAGAGTTTAATATTAGTTAAATCAATCTCAAACAAATTCATATAGGAAAATTCTAAATCCTAGAATTACCAATAAGGAAAGATCAAATTACATGAATAGAGGGTGTGAAATCTCCAAATCCAATGAGTTTCTCCTTAACTTCACCAAGAATTTTAGTTCTCCAAGAAAAACTTCAGCAAAATCCAGAGAAAAATATGTATGGAGACGTTCTCGTGCGTTCTGGGATGTATTAGGGTTCAAATACATGAATCCCTACTTGTTTTCATGGGTAGTTGAACGAGATTAAGAAACTAAATATTCGCCCCCCGAATATAACTATGCGACTGCATAGTTCATTAGCATGCGGTCGCATAGTTCATGGAAAGTTGGTGTCTCCATTCTCTGAAGCAGTATATGCGGTCGCATGGTAGACAACACTATCCGACCGCATAGTGTTGTGTAACTTTCAAAATCTTCGTTTTAGTCCTTCAACTTGGTTGTTTGACTCTTGTTCTCTTTCCTTGTTTCTTCTTATCCAATGCTTTATTCTTTAACTCAATTTAACCTTGACATCTTCATTTACTCTTCCGGTTAATCTTTTGATTATTTGCATCTTGGTCCCTGAACTTTGCTTTTCCTTCATTTTGGTTATTTTCCCACTTGTTTCTCCTTATTTCCGCTACTTTCATCATGTTGTCTTACAAAAACGTAAATTATATAGAATTAAGTTATATTCCAATATATCAGTCAACAATTGTCCATTTTTTGACAGTAAAATAAGTGTATAAAAACGCACTTATCACTTATCGATAGGGGTAAATTTTGAACACAAGATCTGCAAAAGTACATGTAATGGCTAAACGAAAGGAAATTGAGAATTGATGTCATGGTAAAATACTGATTGTGATGGTAAAATGTGACTTCGTAATTTATTTATTTTGTTAGAAATATTCCAGTAGCTAGTTAAAACCGAAACCAACATTGGTTAGTTATGAAAAAAATTACTAAGCAACAACTTATTCATTGGTTAATTCTGGAATAAAAAATATCAAGATGAAATCCGAGTTTCAGAAATTACTAAGCAACAACTTATTCATCTAAATTAAAAAGATTAGAGCCTGAGTAGAGAAAAGTTTGACGTTCAAAAATTTTGTAGAATAGAATTATTTTTTTTTTAAATATAAATATGTTTTATATTCTTATTATTTTTGGGTCAAATAATTAAATTTTGATATAACAAGTTAAAAATATATCAATATTGGACTCTTTTTGTAGATCGTAATTAATTAGAGGTTTTCAACACGAGAAAAGTTATTTTGGATTAGACCACTTCAAGTCAAGTCCGATTAAATGAATAATAGGTTAATATAATTGGTGGAGGCTTGTAATATTAAATGAATAAAATTCTTTTCCCCTTTTAATTCCTACCACAAGTGATTTTTATTTGATATGAAAACAATGGTACAGTGCAATTCAAATGTCATTTTTTGAAACTAAGTCTATGTTGGCCATATGTCCTATTTTGAAATGAAAAGTTTAATTATATGATTGGTAATTAATTAAACTTGGTTTGTGATTTAAATTTTTATGGTAGCCAGTGTGAGATGATAAATGTTGATATTTA